ATTCTAGTCAGACAACATATTTTACATGATGTCAATATTCTTACATTTACTGAACCTTCTTTTATGGTTTTGGAACACTGTATTTGAAAATGCTCCATGTGCACTAGACAGGAATGTGTAGTCTGTTGTGGTTGGGTGGCAGGTTCTAATCAACAGCAGCTAGATCCTGCTGGCTGAAAGTACTGCTGATGTTTTCTATTTATCTACTGATTTTTTGTTTAATTTTAAGTTAATTACTAAAAGGGAATATTGAAAAACTGAACTATGATTACAAAGTTTTTTTCTTTCTGTTCTATTGCATTGCTATCACTTTCCTCCTACTTGAGGAATTTCCTTTAATGCTTCTTACAGTAATAATTCTACTGTTGAACAATTTCCCCATCCTTCCTTTGTCTGAAAAAAGACTTTCTCTTTCCTTGTTGAAGGACATTCTGTTTTATATAGAAATCCAGGTTGGCACTTCTTTTTCTTTTAGCATGTTAAGGATATCATTTAATGGACGCTGGCTTGCACTATTTCAGTTGACAAGTCTCCAATAATCACTTGTTCCCTTGTCATGTAATGTATCTTTTCTGTGTGCCATTCATGTTCTCTTGATCACTGGCTTTCAGCAAGTAGATTGTGATGTGCCTTGGTGTAATTTTATTTATGTTTCTTCTGCTTGGGGTCTGCTGAGCTTCTTAGATTTGGAAGGTGACAGTTTCAATGAAGTTTAGAAAAACTTCAGATACTATCTTCAAGTATTTTTTCTGCTTCCCGCACTTCTGCTTGATACTGTGCCATAACTCAATATGAACCAAGCATAGTTCTGTTCTGTTGAAATTTCAATGTCTGAAAACAGATGCTACTTACAGCTTTCCAATTTCTAGTTGTTTATTACGAGGTAACAGAGTCTCTCTCTCTCTCTCTCTCTCTGTACACACACACACACACACACACACACACACACACACACACACACGTATATTTGGTTGCTTCACAGCAACCAAGTAGCTTTTGGACCTCCTCCCTCTCTGTGCTTCAGTCTGATTAGTTTATATTGCCATGCGTTCACATTCACTGATCTTTTCTTCTAAAGTGTCTAATCTACTTTTAAATCTATCCACTGAATTTTTTATGTCTCATTTAGTTCTTCGTATTTCCTTCTTTGTGTTCATACTGTGCTTTAAATCCTGGAGCATATTTCTAATAGCTCTAAAATTCCTCGGATGGTAATGCCACATCATGTGTCATTTCCATTTATTTTTTTCTGTCAGCTGTTCTTTTGCTTGAAAAGTCACATGAACCACATTTTCTTACTTTTTTGCACACCTAGTAATTTTTATTAGATGCTGGACATTGTGGATATTGCTGCTTGGTGTCTATTTTACTGTCTTCTTTTAAAGAGCAATCTCTCTCTCTCTCTCTCTCACACACACATACACACACACACACACACACACACACACACATGGCAGCAGTCAGGTCTCATGCACATCCACTTGATCATTTTGGGGTTTGTTCACTAAGCTTTGTTGAAGTGGACCTAGAAGAGCTCAATCTATGGCTATTTTAGTCCCACTTGTAAGGTGGGATCCTTATGGAGTCTCCCCGTTCTGGCAGGTTAGAAGTTAAATGTCTCCTGGCCCCATGTAAACACTAGGAATTGTTGACCTTATAGCACCCACAGAGTTCTCTGTCTGGCCTTGTGTAGCCTGGTCCTACACGTTCTCAGCTTACTGTCTGCAATGGACCCAAAAGGGCACCCTTACAAATTGCTTGAGTTTTTTTCTTCAGAGCTGTCCTCTCCCTGACACTGTCCTACAAATTCCAGACACTTCAGATTTCTTAAATCCAGATTTCTGTCATCACAAGTCAAGGTCTGCTGTACTCTCCCTGGGCTTTCCCTCCCTGAGCTAAATAGAGAATGCCTTCAGCATAAAGATGAGGAAAACACAGGACTCCTTCCTGTGTAGTCTCCTTTCCTCTTAACCTCAGGAACCATAGTCCTGTTCTATCTATAGTCCAATGTCTGAAACAGTAAAAGGATCTGCTTCTCTCTCTTTTTCTCTCTCTCTCATTGCTCAAATTATCTCAGATTTTGGTCAGTAAACTCCCCTTCTAGGCTTCTGTGTAATTCTGATGAGTCTGTATAGTTTTTTAATCAATTATGTTCCTTCTGGTACAATTAGATATTCTAAGCCATTTATACTTTCCTTGTCCTGGGATCATAGCTTTCTCCAAGTAGAATTGGAATCTTTTAGCAAAGAATGATATTTAGAGAGCAGATGTGACCATTCAGTGTGCTAACTGCTACTGATGTATCATTGCTTTTAGGTTCAGAGAGGGCTTTGGGACACTTCAATTTGTGAGTAAGCTAAAAGGTCCTTCCCATTAAGGCCTGAAAGGGCTGCAGCTACTTGGACCCTATGAACAAAATTATGTAAATCTTAACTTCTTTTTAGGATCAAACATCACACCAAGAAAAAAGTGCAAAACTGGGACAATGAAGGAAATCAACAAGATTCCAAATGAAGCAGCAGAGGGCAGTAAAGAAGATGGCACATCTTTTTATTACCTTGTTTCAACAAGGACAGAGGACCTCTATAGCTGTGAAACTGAAAAATGCCATTCTGAGATACTCCATGCAGCCCAAACACCAAGCTTCTTAAAAGGGAATGGAAATCAGATTGCTATTAGGCATTTTAAGAGCAATGCTTTAAGCCAGAAAACAATTAGGTAACTGACTAATAAACTTAAGATCGTCAAGGAAAGAAAAAGAGCCCCAAACATATCTATTCAAATAAGCATCAAAGTAGAAAGGCTACAAACTGCTAAGATGATCCTGTGAACTTTTCTTGGGAAATCTAGTGGACAACAAGCTTTAGACAACCATAATTGTTGAAGAAACAACATAAGGATTAGTGCTGAAATAAAATGTGTGTTTATTCACAGAATAATAAGTAAATGATGATTATGAAAGGCAAGTACAGGAATGTCATGGCTATCTTCCTTATAAATTTCATATAATGCAACTAGAAAAAATCAAAATAATGAGGCTAGAGGCATGACTCAAGCAGTAAAGTGACTTCCTGGCCAGCATGGAGTCCTGAGTTCAAATCTCAGTACTGCCAAAAAAAGAATGAAAAAAATATGTGCAAAATAGACTAAGCTTTCTGATTACCTTGTCAGATGATGGAAGAGAGGGCAGAAGAAAGAAGAAATGACTAGGCAATTTATTATAACTTACAGTAAGGGACAAAAACAAAATAAAGGAGAGAGGAAGAACAAAGAGTATATATTAAATAAAAGTGAAAAGCTAACCATTAGGATAAAGAAAAGAGAGAGGTCAAATAAGATAGCCTATATAGCAATAATAGGCTTATTATATAAGAGAATTATATATGGTTAAAAAGTAAAATAAGATAGAAGTGAGGCTAAAGGTAGTGAATACATCGGTGAATATAAAGAAAGTTTCACATAGTCCAGAACAATTTGTGCATCAGAGAGATTCAGAAACTTCAAGAATAAAAGAGACTGACCAAGATACAACAGGTAAACACAAATTTAAAAAGAAGGCAGAATGGGTAATTCTGAAATCTGACAAGGTAGATTTATGGAAGGAAATTATAGATAAGGAGTCATTTTAAAACAAAAAATATTTATGTCATGCAAAGAAGTCTGAACTGGATCAAGTGGAAGTCTTTGAAGGATAAACTCAAAGGAACAAAAATCAGAAATGCACCTTATTGAATTGAGTTTTGAAAAGATGGGCTAGACTGAGGTGATATGAGAGGCAGGATATCCAGTTAGAATGGGGAAGAGGACAAGTACTACTCGAGTGTCTACTCTGGGTGAAGTGATTTACATACATGTTGTCACTGTAATTTTAATAACAACTCTGTGAGGTGAGTCTTATTATTCTCATTTTAAACCTCATTTTGAGGTTGAGGAACATTAAATAACTTATACATATGAGGCAACTAGTAAGATGCTAGAGTCTAGTTTGAACTCAGTTTTACCTAAGTCCTTGCCACTATGTAATGCTGTTTGTCACTGGAAGAAAAGGAAGAAGGAAAGAAAGAAGGGAGGGAGGGAAAAAGAGGACAAAAAAGAAAAAAGAAAAACAGCCTAAAGAAGAAAGGGTAAGGGTCTACGGATGTACACAGGGACTGGTATTTTAAAAACAGTTTAGAAGACCTTTGTAATAGACTGGACATTGTATAAAATTAAACAACAAGGAAAAGAAATCAAGGATTCCAGAACCATTATGAAGGCTAGTACCCTCAAGGTGTTCTAACTCTATTGAGAAGGAAAACAGAATGCCCTTACATACCTTCTATTGTTTAACATTTTTTATTCTTCCCCACATCTGCACTAACCAAAGCCAAAACTTAAGCACATGGGATTTCTTGTTGTGTTTGAAAAAAAAAATGCCAGCACAATAATAATCAGATCCTCTGAAAAATATTAACAGCAATAGCTAGATGAAAATTCAAAATAAATTACCACAAAGAAGGTAATGTGTGCTTCTTCCTTTTGATCCTTTTTCCCCCATTAGGGAAGAGGTAGATTTTAAAGTTAGTAATGATCTAATAAAATACTTATCCTCAGTGTACAGGGTACTGAGAGCTAAAAAGTCTGCTGAATAGACTTTGGAAATAAAATTTAGGAATAAAAGTTAACAGGTAAATATGGTTTTTTCACTTTTTAAAATAGGCATATATTAAACTATACATAGTGAGGATTTCATCATGACATTTCCACACAGTAAATATGAATTTTTAAATTCTAGTCATCACTTTGTTAAAAGTTACAATATAGAATCTTCTTATTTTTCTACTTTTAAAAGTCAAACCCCTGAAATCCTCTGAAAATTTTCTTTCCCAAATTTTGTTTCATGTTTTCCCAAACTTACACTTCACAATTTCCTGAGATACTCTATTGAATTACTGCCAGATGTTTGATTGGTTAAGTGAGGGTATTTCTCCCTCATTTCTCTTCCCCCATCACATACTCACATGGAATGGTTCTCAAGTAGAGATTATCTCTGATCACTTGCTGCAGTTTATGGTCAACTGATCCTTTCTGAAACTGAAGACTCAGGTAATGCCGCAAATCTTTATTAATGACTTTGCCTACAAAAAAAAAAACAGGAAAGAAAATATATGGTTGTTAGATGTTCACTTAAATGGAGACGCTAGTAACTGAATACCTTTAAAACATGTAACTATAAATAGGAAAGGGAAATCAGTATGTTAATAACAAGAAAACAGCAAATTATTAAAGGTACTGTAATTAAAATATACATGTACAATATAATGTTAATATAATTTTACATGGTAGTAGGTATAGGTCAGAGACTGTGACAGATATCTACGGCAATTTCACTTAGTCTTATGGCTTTAAATACCCTATCTACATAAGGAAAGCTTCCAAATTCATATCATGCCTCCATCCCTAACCTATCTCCACTAAGCTCCAAACTCATCAAACTCATCCATATACATTGCGATATATTTCAAATAAGCACCTCAAATTTCAGATAGTCCAATCTGAACTCTTCTTACTCCAACACTTTCCCTCAGTTTTTTCTGTCTTAGAAAATAGCAGCATCATCAATAGGTAAAACAATTTCCACATCTAGAAGTCATTCTTGATTTCTCCTTTTCACTCCTATCCCCTAGATCCAATGCACTAGCAACTTTTAGCTGTACCTCAAAACACATTCCACTGCTCTTTCTATCAATACCATCCTCATCGAAGCCACCATCATTTCTCATCTGAAATTCTAATAACAGTCTTCTGAAGAGTATCTTTGCATCCATCTTTGGCCCCTTCCTGTCCCCCTCCTCTCCTTCACAATAACCAGAGTGAGATTTAAAACATAGATCAGCTCAGTATTGCTCTGTTTAGGCTTTCCCACCCTCATGACTTTTCGATGCACTTGGAATAAGATTCAAACTCCCATTCAGGACATAGAAGACCCCACATGTGGTGGCAATCTCTAGCACTAACTCGTTCACTCATCCCCTCTCGAACTAAAGCCGCACTCACAGTGGCCATCCTCTTATTCTTTGAAAAGGCCAAAATTGGTTCCTAGCTCAGGGCCTTCTGCCTGTCCCTAAATTGAACAGTTCACAAAGGTTTCCATTATTTATAGGAAAAATGAGAAATAGAAGAAAGTTAAACAGAATTCCAAAAATCTCTTACCAGTGATTTTGTGGTAAGGAATGAATTTAAAGTGAAAATCAAACCAATCCAAACACTGTTCATTAGACAGGACTTCAGATAATTAGAAAAGATAATGCTAAGACAGAATGGCTATCTATTGAGTAACAAATGACTAGATGATTAAAAAGTATACTATGTTTTATTTGGAACAACATATGTATAAACAAGCTTAGATAAACTAAAAGATTACTATAATAGATCAGCTCATTCTTTAAACTATTATTACATAATAGTATATTTCTAATGCTCTCTTTGTTTTTTCTACCATGTATGAATAAACATAGCCTTTGTGGAAGGGTGTTAATATAAACATAAAATCAGTGTTTGTAAAGTTCAGAGATAACATTCTAACCCTAAACAAATAAACTCAACCAAAACAACTCCATCTTTCACCTTGCCAGATACTGAGGAGGACAGAGCCTTTGGGTTGAAGGAAATAAACCTGACAGATAGTTATAGGAATAAACACAGAACAATTCCTATTCCCAGAGGTTGCTTCTGTCAGGCTTTTAGGGGTCCCTTTAGCCCAAGACTAATTCAGACAGAATCTTATTATTCCATTCTTTATTTACATTATAGTACTTGTTCACTGACTGATAGGTAGAAGAAAAATTTAATTAATTAATCAATACTATATATTCTCGTTGCTTATTGAACAAAAATCTACCCAATGAGCTCATTAAATACTTTAAAAACTTGTTTATTGGTATCTCAAATGCACTGAGAAAGATTTGGTGGATTGCTGTTTAGTGCTTAAAAGTGTTTGTGGTATTTGGGGACCGAGAATGTATCCCTGCTTTTTTGCAATTTAAACAGTAACACAAGTAGATGTGGCAGTACATGCCGATGACCCCAGCTATGTAGGAGGCTGCAGATGCAGGAGGATCGCGGTTACAGGCCAGCCAGGCAAAAAACATGAGACCATATCTGAGAAGTAACTACATCAAAAACAAAAACCAAAAAAAAAAAAAAGGGGGGGAGGCCGTAGGGGTGTGATTCAAGTTGTAGAGCACCTGCCTAGCAAACTCAAGGCCCTGAGTTTAAATCTCAGTACTGCCAATAAATAAATAAACAAACAAATAAATAACATAGGTTCCAATATCCACAATTTAGCTATCTAATATATTTTCAGGAAAGGATTTAATTTGGATAAGAATAATACCTGCCTAACTAAAGAATACAATCTGAATCAACCATTCTCTAGCTCATTATTTCATTTATGAAAAAAAATTTAAAGCTGTAAGATATGGCATAACTCACAGATACCTATAAATTGCTAAAAATCCAGATTGGATTTTAATTAATAAAAATCAGTCATTACCTTAGATACAATTAAAAGATAAAACCACAATAAAATCCTAAATAACAAATTCTATAACATAATTGCTCTCTTAAGGAGAAATGGAGTTAAAATAACCTAATTCTTGCTTTAAGGGCCTATGAGATCTTAAGGCCAAAGTAGAACAGCTAAATTTTAAAGAATAAAGCCTACAATTATCAAGGCTAGAACTGTACTCTGTTTTTACCCTCAACTTCTACTGGGATTCTGGATGTGACACTGAGATGACCACTGCAAAGAAATGGGACATTTTTAAAAAATATGGTATTTTATTTAAAATGTGCTGGAGGTTTAGCTCAGCGAAAGAACTCTTGTCTGACATGAACACGTGGCCCTGAGTCTAACGCTCAGCACCACAGGATAAAAAACAAAATCTGGGCTGACTTTTCTTTTTTGCAATACTGGGGTTTGAACTACAGACTTCGAGCTTACAAGGCACGTACTCTACCACTTGAGCCACTCCACTAGCCCTTTTTGCTCTGGATACTCTGGAGATAGGGTCTCCCCTTTTACCCAGGCCAGCCTGAACCACGATCCTCCTATTTTAAGCTTCCCACCATCACTGGGATAATAGGCATCCAGCTCCTTACCACCCCACCACCCATTAAGATGAGCCAGACACTAGTGGCTCGTGCCTGTAATCCTAGCTACTCAGGAAGCAGAGATCAGGAGGATCACGGTTTGAAGCCAGCCTAGGCAAAATAGTTCATGAGACCCTATTTCGCAAAAAACCATCACAAAAAAGGGCTGGTGCAGTGGCTCAACATGTAGGCCCTGAGTTGAAACCCAATACTAAAAAAAAAAAAAAATTAGGGTCTCGTGAACCTTTTTGCAGGCCTGGAACCATGATCTCAACTTCCCAAGTAGCTAGGATTACGGGCATGAGCCACCCGCACCTCACTTGTGCTGACATTCTTTAAGATTAACAACTACTTATAAAACACATTGGGACTGGACGCATGGTTCAAGTAGTAGAGGGCTTGCTTTGCAAGCATGAAGCTCTGAGTTCAAATCTCAGACTCCTCAAAAATAGTAATAATAATAATAATAAATGTTGATTATAGCAGTCATTGTACATTTCTAAGGAGACAGAATATTATGGTTTGTGCTTTCATAGACTTTCAAGAAATCTACTTTCTAAAAAGTACAAATATTCAGAATAGGGAGCTGACTGGGATTATCAGAAGGTCAAGGGGAACATTACCACAAAAAGACACTGCTAAACACAGCTGTTTATCAAAAGCCCGCCTTTGTTTAGGGTCAGCTCACACAAACTTGACATTTCACCAGTATGGGATTTATGTAGCTGTTATTTTAAATGAGAAAAGGGATTCTTCCTAGTGTTACCATTCTTACCTAGTCAGCCTTTGCTTGAAGTGTTAAGGTTATTCTTTGATGTCTATTCTTTCTAGTCTTTAACTTAATTTGTAAGTCAAGATGATTTATGAAACTTAAAAATAGATCTACATAGCTGGCAAATACAGGTTGGCTGGGAAAATGATGGTAACTGAAATCTCAATCAGATAAATAAATCCAGGTACTCAAGTTTCAACAAACAAACCCTCAGTTAAAAGAACTCACAACTACAAATCTGCATATGTGCAAATTAATATTCACCACCAGTTCTCTAAGGAATCAGTTTATGGAACAGCTGGGTATTATTTGGATAAACCCTGTGGCATGGGGCAAGGGCGTGGCCACACAAACAGCTGTAAATCAATCTACCATATGTCATCATCTTTTTACAAGGACAGCAAAGACACTTTGTCAGCCACTTGCTTAGGTCAAGACGCAGCATGTCTTTACTATTCTCCACTCCAGTAGCAATTATAAAACTGAAAAAAGGAAAAAATGAGGTCAGTTTAGCAAGTCTTGTTCTTAAAAATTCACATTGATTCATCCTGATGATTCCAAGTCTCTTCTACAAACTTAGATTAAAAATAAAATCTCAAATTTTGCCATAGTTTAGTTTATGTTGGGGAATTCCAATCTACTCCATTTTGGAAACTGGGACATTTGTCTTGAGATCTTCCGCCTCCTGGTACTTCTCACATTCTCCATGATGTTGTAAAAAATATTGATGATAACTTGAGATCCTGTCTGAGCCCCTTTAGCTTCTGGGGAGGCAATTCAACGTTTGAGAACTTAAATCTTTTAAAGTAAATGATATTCCTATCATCTTCTCATTCTTTTTTTTTTTTTTTTTTGGTTTAGTTTCTCTTGTTTTGTTTTTCAAAGTTTTTTTTGTTGTTGTTTGTTTGTTTTGGTGGCACTGGGTTTGACCTCAGGGCCATTCACTTGCTAGGCAGAAGCTGTACCACTTGAGCCACACTCTCAGCCCTTTTTCAGATAGGGTCTTGTGTTTTTGGCTTGAGTGGACCTCAGATCAAAGATCCTCTTAATCTATGCCTCCCTCATAACTGGAATTACTGGAGTATGCCACCATGCCTGGCATGGGGTCTTGCTAAGTTTTGCCTTGTCTGGCCTCAAACCATGATCCTTCCAATCTCTGCTGGGATTATAGGCACATACCACCATGCTCAGCCTTTGTATTTAAGACAGTGT